ATCGAGAACGGAACTTCAAAAAAACGTTCCGACAGAACCAATGAAAAGCCCAAAAACCGCAAAAATATTAAATGCAATTGCTTAGACCGAGAAAATGTAACCCACAAAAATTAGCTTTAAGGCGGCAGCAGGAAAAGGCATTTTTTTTCATTGGCATTTCCTTTTGCATTTGTGATTTGCTCTCTCTCCCCGCGTTTACCCAAAATCGCTGGCGAAAATTGCACTTCTGTGTGCCATTTGGTTTTTCCTTGGCTTGACTGGAAAATTCCCTCGCGTAACTGACAGCAGCTGGCAATCCCTAACATCCTCCTCCTCCTCCTCCTCCTCGAAGGCCTCTCGAAGAGCCTATCAAAGCCATACAGCAGCCTACCATCTCCCTTCGCCATTCCCATTCCCATTCCCCCTTTTATTTGCATTAAGCCCGGCCATTTATTTGCATATTTTATTGTGGAGCATATTTTCCGCTAAAGTTTTCCTCTCTTTCTTTGCCTTTATGAATGAAAACATCGAGGGGTTGCCACTGTGGTTGGGGGTTGTGGGTGGAGAAGCAAAGGGGGTTTCGGGAATGAAATGATTTTCTCTGTCTCATTTTTTTTCGTCTTCTCATTTTTATTTTTACGCATTTCTTGCGTGTCGTCTTGCGTCGTCTTTGCATCGCCTTTGTCTTTCTCCTCCCTCTCACAGTTTTTCTTTGTTTTTCTCCCCCAAAAAAAAAAATTTTGTTTAGTTTACTTTTAGTTTATCCGAGGGGTTTTCGGTGGGGTTTGCTCTATTTTCAGGCTTTGCCGATAAGAAAAGTGTCCAAACAGTTGTGGTCAACATAAGCAAGAAGTTTCATGATTCTTTTGTTTTAATTGTTAAAGTTTATCTAAATAAAGTCTTGAAATTTATCTAAATAAATTTAGTAAATAAATTTCATAATACAACCACAAAGTTTATGAAACTAATTAAAATAATATACAAGAAATATTACATAAATGAAATTATGAACAAAAATAAACTATGATATGCATATAAATTAGCACAAACGTATGCTTCAGGATTAATTTTCCAAATTAGAATAAATCTAAGATAAATAATAAACAAAAAAACATCAATAAAATTGTAAAAAATATTCTTTAATTTGCTTAAACTTTTCTTTATATATTTTCTTTTGATTAAAGTTCTATTATTTTGACCACTACTGTCTCACACACTTGTCTCTCGATTTCTTTAACAATTTTCGGGGCTTGCGTGTGGAAAGCCAATTCGAAAAAAGCAAATGGCCAAAAAAGACTCAAATTACCCGGCTGCAGTTTTTGGCCTAACCCCCACGGAAATTCTATTTCTATTTATTTACCTTTTCGACGGTTACTAGGTCTACTCCCCTATTGTTGTTTTTCTTGAACGTAGCTTTTCGAGCGGCAAGTGTTTCTATTTATGGACAAATTTATGGCCAACTAATTGAAGCAATGGGTTAAAACGGTTGGCATGTGAAGTTCTTGATCAGATTATGCGATTTTTAGTTGAGGTTTTCTTTTGGCAAAGAGGGTTATTTAAGGGGTTTGAATCAATTCTTTTGTGTATAAAAGCTAATTTGTTTTGGCTTGCTATATTTATTGCAAGATATAATAGGGCCAGAAGTCTAGAAGTTGGAGAATTAATATAGTTTATATCTAAAAAGAGATTTCAAAATCCCTTAAATATATTTTTATATTGAAAATATATTGTTTTGGGAACTTTTTATAGTACCCCTTCCTAGGAATATATATAAAAATTATATTTTTGATTTAATACAACATTAGTTTATGTTCTGCGTATTTTTGGTAACTTTTAATTAAATTTCTTTGAATTTTGTCTTACTTTTAAGCCACATAAGCTTTGACTGAGTCATTTAACAATCTCCAATGGATTATATCACTTTTGGATTAAGTGATTAAATGCAATATATGACTCATGTATTTGTTTTCCAAACGCTTTAGGCCATTAGGCCGCTCCTTGCTCTCTGGATCTTCGATAACTCTCTTATTTTTTTGCCAACAGATCATGATCATCCCCCACCTCTATTTCCCTTCAAAATCTCATAAATCTCCAACCAAAGAACTGACTCATCCGAAAACCAATTCATTCCCAACAAATGGCCATTAAACATCGCGAAAAACTCGCATTTGCTGACCATTTGTAAGGCCTCTGTGCATTCGGGCATGTAAAAAACAAGTACATATTTTTCATTTATCATACATTTTTTTTAACTAGACCCTGTTTTTAATTTGTTGCAAAAAACACAGTGCACATTTGCACATACTCGAGCGGAATGTGTGGCGCCGTTAAATTGAATTGTATGGCAAAAGAGCAGAAAATAAATTGACATTGAGAGTGTGTAGAATTTATTGAAATTGTTTTGCCTGACGCCACATTGTGCACCCGAGGTCGTTATGGAAAAATTGTTTAAAAAATATACATAAATAAAGAAAAAGTATAGAGAGAGAGAGATTTCTCTGGGTGCCTTCAGTGGAACCACCTTTCTGCTCCAGATGCGCCCTGAATCTTGGCCCTTCTGCAACTGCAGCCAAGTGCAACGGCTCGTTGCAAGATGGACACGGACTTGGGGGTATTCTTCTTTACTCTCTCTGTGTGTGTGTTTGGGTCAAATGTATATATCTCAAAGTCCGGCACGTAGCAGGGCTTTTTGCGTTCAGCATTATTTTCTGGCTTTCCATTTTGGCCCATACTCATAACTCCCTGGTCTCCGGTCTCCGGTCTCTGGTTACTGGGTTTTGTCTTCACTCGACGTTGTCTGTTTGCCTCACTTTTGCTCACATTTCGCATGGCCAACTAACGGGCCGCGTTGTCTTTGGGCCAATGCCTTTTTAAGTGTGACTAATTATGACTCGACTGTCTCTTGGCCACTTGAGGTGTTATTTCACTTGGGCTTAAGTCAAGAGTTCAACGATCTAGGGTTTACTATATACAAATGTATATAGGCTTCATTGCAGACCCCATTGCGCCATTTGTATCGATTTCGTACGGTTGGGAGGAAAAATCCTGCAAGATTTAGGAGACAAAAAAGGAGTGTAAAAAGTGGAAAACAGTTCACCCAAGTAAACTGAGCCAATATTTTGGCTGCAGTTTCCCAAGAGTCGTAGATAGGAAAGGATACAGGAGAGTTTTGCTGGGCGGAAATTATGCAGGCAATTTGGCCCAAAAAGAAAAAAACTCTTACGTACAATTTGTTACAAGTTGACAAGGAGGCAAGGGAAGAGGCTAAAGGCCCAGTTTGTATCAGGTAATCAGTCTTGACTCTGGATGCTGGCTAAAAGCCAAACAGAATTGATGATGTGACATAAGAGAGCTGGTAACTTTTGGCTGAACTCGGAAAGGCAGTTACTCAAGATAATTGGGATTATTTAAGAGTAATATTTAAAGATTAAATCAGAGATATATGAAGGAAAAACTTCAATATAAACATATTATAAACATATTCCTAAATTGAGACCATAAAGTCTATCTTTGTTCTCAAAGAAACCCCAGCTCTTTATGGGTTTAACCATGGTATTATCTCTCTTCAATCATCATTCTTTTGGGCAGAGACTTCCCCCTTTCGTATCAGAGATAAGATTTAAACAAAATCCTATTCATATAACATTGTTATTGCCCGCCTAATAGATACCTATATTTCGCAATTCATTATCTCAGTTTATGTTTTCAACCGTGGCAGCGTGGCAAGGTGAGACTACCTGAGAACTCAGATCTAAGCTACCTGACCACTTCCACATGCAAAGAGCAGAGATGATATCCAGGTAAGCTTTAAAGAAATAAAAATGAGCAGAGCCTAAAGAGGCTTTTGCCAGATGATGATGATGATGAGACCCCCATAGTCAAGATAAAAAAACCGCCAAGCACGATAAGAGCGTTAACAAAATAATAACAAAATAAAAAGCATTTACATATAGCCAGAAGGTCGTGCCGGGACAGCCAGAAGGTAACTGAAAGTAGCTCCGGGAGCTGGAGTAGCCGTACTCTCAGATGGTCAGTCAGTCACCTATAGCTTGGGGGACGAGAGGGACCTGGGACTTGGGCCATTAGTGAAATGGCCCTGTCAAGAACTGCGGTTGGGATAGCAAAAAAACAAAAAGGAATGTGTGTGTATGGCTTATTTGGTTTAGGCCCTCTTCATGCTACCAACTTCTATTTGCCTTTTTCCTTTGCCATTCAACGTGCTTCATTTGGTTTTAGTGGAGAAGGTAGGTAGCCACTAATTTGCAGCATCGCCAAGACATTTGTTTCGCTTATGAACCAAATCTAATAAGAGCTTTATGAGAATTGAAGAAGCCTGGGATATCTATTTGAACATTAAGGGAGTTCTTTATATATTTTTATAAGGATTAGAAGCAGACAGACGTTGGTATAGGATAATGAAGAAGTTGAATTAATGCAGTTCTTGGTTTAAACTGGTTTAAAGTGTGATATAAAGATATAGTCAAATACGTCAAAGGATATTTTAAAAGTAATATTTTAAACCTAGAAATTATGGGTTCTTGGATATAATAAAAACTTCCTTAAGATTAATCTGCATTTACAAAAATATGCATATTAAAGTTAATTATAGTCAAGAGTAGTAGAATTATTCTTTCTAACAATGAAGTTAATAAAAATAATAAAATAACTAAGTTCCACTTTAAATCCTTAGTTTTAGCTAAATATAACCCCCTTAAACATTTCAATTTCAAATGAAATAGATATAAGCTTTCGAAGAACTTGTAAAAAATGTCAAGAATTTTCATTGCCTTCCATTTATCCAGCCTTCAAGGTATCCAAGAATCATTAGACCAAAAATGTATAATAAATTAAGAGATAAAATTCGTGTGTCTTCAGAGAGATCCTGAGATTCTTTTGTGAATTTCTGAGATAATGAGCCCGAGGCACTTGTACTCTGTACTTGTGCCTTCATTATCGCATCACACACAGTGCCTCGGATCCCCGCCTTAATTGTAATTTATATCCTAGCACATCGCTCTCACCTTGGGATCCATGATGCTCCGCTCCAGGCTATCCTCCCGATTCATGGTGGTGGCTGTGCTGCCGGTGCCAGTGCTGCTCCACCACAACCTCCACCCTCACGCTGGCTGCTCCGCTCCCGTTCACGCTCCCGCTCCTGCTGCCCCAGCCGCAGGCGAGCCCGCTCCACACGCGCCAGGGTCGGACTGTCGAGGATCGAGGGAGCCCGCGATGGAGGGCGCGAGTTGTTTGCCGCATTTGTGTGGAGTTCTTGGAGTTGCTGTTGGAGCTGGTGGTGCTGTTGTTGTTGTTGTTGTTGCTGCTGCTGATGCTGGTGGAGCGTCTCAAGCGTGGCACTGTTGTTGGAGGAGGTCGAGCCGGGCGTGGGCGTGGCCGATGACGATGAGTTGGTCATGGTGGCCGTCGATGTTGTGGACGCGGATGTGGTGTGCATGAGCATGGTCGTTGTATAGCTCGGATCGTTGGGTTTAGCGGTAACTTAACTGCAACGCTTTTTTTGCTTATTATTACTTTTATGGGGCGGTAGGGGGAATGTTGCACTTTCTGGGTTCTGGGTTCTGTATTTGCTTTAACTGTGGGTGGAAAAATCGAAGGGGAGGTGTTTTCCATTAGGCCTTGTCTTTGAAAAGGGGTGTGAGGTGGGAGGGGTTTTCTTATAAATAAAAGACGAGTTTTTGCAGGTTTTACAGGGGCTTGGGGTTTTCTATTGAATTTTTAAAGGGGCCTGAGTCATTGTGTTGGCTTTACTTGGTTTCAGTTTAATTATAAGTAGTACTTTTTAGATATTATATAAATAAATCAACCTTTATTTATGAATTTTTACTCGAAAAACTGATTACAAATTGCTAAATGCTACGACATTGACTGCATTTACAAGGATCTTATTCTTAATTTTAAAATTCTTTAAATAGCAGTAAAGTTATCATAAATATCTGTCTACAAATATCTTTTAAGAAGAGAAAAAGTGACATTAAATATGTTTAAAAATGCTAAAGACCTATTTAACTTATCTTCAAGTAAACTACTATAAAAACACTTTTAAAGTACCATAAAAATGATCATAAATTAACAGATATATTTTTTAACCCTTTTAAACCGGCAAAACCTATATTTTCCTTTCTTTTTTGTACACTAGAACCCCCTTTGACACCTTTTTTGGAATATTTATGTCCCTCTCAATTGCATTTCTTATCACTATTATCCATTGCACCTAATTTATGACTTCTCTATCTGTCGCTGGCAGCCGCCAATTTTGGCTTTTTTTTATTATTACCATTTTCCTTTCAACAAAACCACAAAGGAGACCAAAAGCCAAGAAATTGCAAGAAAAACGTGAAATAATCGAGAGAAGAAAAAATAAAAATAAAACTAAATAAAACCAACACAAGAGAGCAGTCAATAATTTTCACAAAACTGGTTTTCTTTTTCGGGTTTTTCGGTCTGTCCAAAGGCAGGTCTAAAACTCTGTTGCAGGTAGTTTTTACTTTCGCACAATAAACACTGCGTGGTGGATGTGTAGGGAAGGGTAGGGGGTCTCACGGGGGGGGAGGCAACTGCAAAGTGCAGGCCGCAAAAAGATACAAAAGTATCTTTCTTTTTTTTGGCACTCGTAATGATTCTTGGGCACTTTCCGTGCCATTTTATTGGCTCAGTCTGCCTTCAGTGTTCAGTGTTTTGTGTGTTTGCCGAGGATTATTATTTATATTTTCTTGGCGCGTAGCATTTCGCATACGGGATGCCAAACACGTTTATTTTGTCATATTTCCGCTGACATATTAATTCTTTCGATTTGGTTTCGTGGGTAGTTGGTAGTTGGTAATTGGTTTTATAGCTCGTGCACACATACTTCTTAGATTTAGATTTAGATTGGATTGATTGATTTTCGATTTGGCAGCGCGTCGCGTCGCATTTCTTTGCGGTTTTGTATTTTTTGTGTTGGACAATTGAAAAAACCAATTTTGTGGTTGCAAAATTTTATTTTCAAATCGAATTCGAACAGAGTTTTTGGTTGGTTTTGAGTTCAAATGAATCGCGCAAAGCAAGCGACCGTCCACGCGAGCTGCTCGTCGATGACTGGCACGAAGGAAAACTGGTTTTCCCGTGAATCTCGTGCATCGGCATGCGGGTGTGCCGCTGTAGTATTGTTGGGGTAAACAAATCCGGAATACGGGTTCGATATACTCGTTCGAACATGTTCGAGTTGGGTCTGCAAAAATCCCAATATTTTTGAATATACATGTGTATATTCATTGAGGGTTTAGTCAGCGCTGCATTACCAGAAATTATATGAAGAAAAACCCTAATCTTGTACTTCCCGGAAGCCAAAAAATTGAATTCTTTTGGTTAAGATATTCTTTAGATTTTGGTTACTCACTGCTTTGAAAATGTTTTGATATTCGATAACATATTAGTCAGATTTCCTAAGTTTTATAAATTTATTATAGTTTAAAAGTACTTATTGAATTCAGGGGAGAATAATTGCATTATTTTGTACTTATTTTTGGTGTTGAAGAAAAATAAAAAGCCGTAGCTTGAAAGTTCTATAAAATACAATTACTTTAATTATAAGATTTTCCTGTTTATTACATTTCTTTGAAATGATTTGCACGAAAATGAATGAATATGGAATGATTTACAATTACCGAATTATTCATCGTGTTTTCTTTCACTGCTACTCTTTTATTTAACGTTTATAAACTACAAATATAAGAATTGTATTACATAAACATTATTTTAGAGAATAAAGAATAATAAATAAATATAAAAGTAATTTAATTAGCTAAGCTTCTCAAGTTTTTCTATTGTTTACACCTCCCACCTGCTCACATTCATAATATTCACAAGAATTCTGGCCTTTTGGGAAATTAAATTTCCCAAAACAAACTGAATTGCAACCAACTCAAACACAACCAATCAGCAACTCGAACCCAAGCATAAGAACTTGTTCACTTCTTGGCCAGAATAAAAATATTTTTAAAGGTTTGAAAGCATATATAAGCCACAAAAGGCTAGAATTAAATATGAAAGTTTATTATTTTGCCATAAAGTTGGCAATATAAATATTTAAAGTGCCGTTGTAAGCATTTACAATATACTTTAAGCACATATTCCTTATGGATGAAGTGATTTATTTGGCTCCCTTTCAGTTTGTGGCTTAAAAACAGGTTGTTCCCTTTGCCTTTCTTGCTGTGAACCTTCAGAGGTTTATGATCTGCCTCTCTACCTCAAATTGTTGCATGTTCAGGTCTCAGTTCAATGTCCCAGAATCGTTTGAGTTGCGTTAATTGTGCTGTCTGAATGAAATATAGAAATACAATCGAACTGTAGAAAGCGAATAGCACTTGACTCATTTATCTCATGGTATCTTATGGTAATTTCTTGAGATGAGTCTAGATGGGGGACTCATCATCATTGGGGTCTAAGAGAATGTCTGGGATTTTGTCTCCCCTTTTCATAACGATGATTCACAGCGGATTTCACACACTGGCACACATGTAAATTATTTTTTGCGGTATGCGAATCACGCAATTATGCAAATCATTGGCAAATCGCTATATCTGTCTTTTCAAGAAGACGGAACGTGCCACACTCTTTTAGATCTTTTGGCCAGACTCTACAGGTTTTTTTTTGGTTTACTTTCTCATTACGGAATAGACATGATGCCCCATTCATAGGTATATGTTATCTCCATATATAAATATATATCTTTTAAAGGGAGGGGTTTTTTCTGTGTTGGTCTGGCGCCAGTCATAATTTTTTAATTTCGGATATAAATGCCTTGACAATTTGTCGCGCATCGCTTCTCATGTTTTTTGGGGATTCTCAAATTCTCAGAATTTGACGTGTTGGTCAAAAGTGAATTTTTGGTTTTTTAGATTTTGTGTGTATATGTCTGGTGACCGTCACAAGTGGCTTTGATAACTTTATTGGCTGTGTTCTCATTGCTATGTTTTGTGGTCTGTGTTTTTGTGTAATTTGTTGTGATTATCAGATCTTGATTGAGGGCTTTAGAAACGTGATCAGGGGGGATGGGAGACCCAAAAAAATGGTACTCTAACACCGATCCTCATATATACATATGTATTTGTATATGTTGTATAAAAATTATGATTGAGAGTCTATTGTGTCTGCTCTTATCTAATCATTGTTGGATTATAAACATAAATAGAGGGGAAAAGTCAAAGGTAGTGTGAGAGTTGTATCTAAAAAGAACCTCTTACTTTTTAACATTTAAAAAATATAAAATATAAGTTATAATACGTTTTTCATTAAGTTAATCAGTTGAAGCAAGTAGTTAAACTCCATGAGAACTAAGAAAAGCCTGAGAAAATCACTAAACTTTATAAATACACCTTGATATCAGCTGCATTAACTTATACCTTTACTTTATATTTAATATTGCATCACATTAAAGTTCTATTTATAATTAATAAATTTTACAACTTGTAGCCTGCCAATCTAAGTCTTATCTAATCGGAATATATATATAAACATTCGCTAATAGACACCCAAGTGTGCCATTTGAGGGGTTCTTTTCATAATCATTTAAATGCCTCTCAGAGAGCTCTAACCGTGCCACAAAAGGCCCGGTTTGCTTTTTCTTTCGGTTCTGTGCCGCATTTCCGTTCCGTATTGGAAAGAAAAGCGCTTCGTTTTTGTTCTAACATTTCAATGGTTTATCAAAATGCCGGGGACGCCGTTTCGTCTGGTCGCCATTTAAGACTGGAGTCTCTTCAGAGCTTCCTTTCGACTCTTTGTACTTACTTCTCTCTGTGCATATCGGATTGGCCATATCTTTTGTATGCACTCGACGCATTCGAGAAGTTTTTTCCCCTTACTTTTTTTTATCGCAAACTTTGGCTGGGCAGGAAAAGGCGCGTACGGACTTTGCCTTCAGATCTCTTTTCCCTCGTCGCTTTTCCCTAGATTGATTCAATCGTGTGAGTATGTGGAGATTTGTCATATGTTTTGTATTCGCTGCATAAAACAATGCAAAAGTGACATTTCCTCAACTCGCATTTCGCATCTTATCAGCTGGCAAAGTAGCAGCTGGTCTGAGCCGAAGAATATATGCTGGTTGAGTTTTATTTTCCGTTTTTTTTCAGTACTGTCAGTTAGTCTTTAATACTCCGCCTAGAGTCTCTGACTGGACTGCCCGATAAGCCTCACTACCGAGTTGATAATATAATATAAAATAAGGCAAAAGAAGCATAAGAAGCTGCCGGAGTCAAAAGAGCAAACTGCGCTCTGATTGCCAACTGACGATTGACGAGTGAGTTTCCTATAACAATATACACTTATATCTAGGGTAAGTGGATTTTATACATTTATAAATATTTATTAAGGAAAATAAATGATTATTGTAGGGAATTTATAGAAAACAGCAAGTAAAAGGATGTATTAAACATAATCCAAGAGAACAGCTTAATAAATAACTCCTACTTCCCTCAAAGATAAATTACAGTTCACCAACTATTAAGGCATTCTATTTGTTTAAAAAATCTACAATTTATATGAATATATGTATATTTATATATTTTAATATAATCTTAGTCAGAGTATCTTCATTTCTCAATCAAACCAATCAACATTTCAACAGCATCTTGCTTATATATTTTTCCGATTGCGAATTTCATCTTTCACAGGCTGATGTCTTGTTTTCCAAACACTCAACCATAAATCACTGATAAAATTCCAAAGTATGCATAAACTGTCAGTGCATTTATATTAATTTAAATGCTTGCTTTTTTGCTGCAGTTACTGATTGTGATATTTTCCTCATCACAAATACACACACTTGTTGTGTGTAGTGAATATATATCAGCTTCCGCGGATTTCTCGTGGCCAGGCACTGACCATGGGCAATTAGTCAATGTGCGGCGTTTTGTAATAGAAACTAATGGCTTTCCAGTGCCACTCCCTCCCTCTACGTCAATGTCCACTCCGAATCCCCCCATAAAAGCATTCCTAAAAACACGCATTCTTCTAGACTTCTAAAGAGAGACTTGAAAGAGACCGTGTATAGCCGAGGGGAGTACTTTTAATTAGCTGTGTAGATTGGTCAACGAAAATGAAATTAATTACAGCAATGTTAATAACTTTATCGGCGTTGCTGACAACTTTATTGGTCATCAACTTAGAGGCACAACTTTGATTTGTGTAATGTGAGGAGAACATATTTAATAGAGTTGGAATTGAGATGAGGGAACATTTATAATTTAATGATAACATTTAAGAGGACATTCAACTTTGATAGGGAATTATTTAAATAAGTTTTGTATATATTTTAATTGTTGTTTTATATCTTTAAGCTAATTATAACCATTACATTTCATGCTCTGTATATTTTTAATCCCACTAAACCTTAACCCATTACAACTCAATCTTTCTCATTCTCTTTACTGTTTTGCCGACTTTAACTGGATCCGTTTCAGCCTTGATTTTATCTGTCGCTTCACTCTTTTTTGTGAAGCCTTAACACCAAACACATACCAATTCACATTCCTTAACCTGAAGTTCTACCTGAGTTCCTGAGGCTCTCAGGTAGCTGAGAATCAACTCATTGAAAAACTCTCATAATCTTATTAGAATTCGTTTGTGGTACATCGATACCCATTTGAATTGGGTTTGAATTCCTTTGAGTTCATTTAATTGCCGGCATTTCTTTGACGCCCGTCTGTCTATAATAATTCTGGATTTTATTTAATATAAAAAAGCAAAAAAAAAAAAACAGAACAAATAAAATCGCTTGGCCAATGACTTATGAATGAAGGGGGTTTGGGGGCTGAGTCATGACATGGGTTCTTTGGAAATAAAATAAAGATAAAGATGAGATCTTTGATGATGATGCCAAATTGATGGGGCCTTATAAATGACTGATTAATCACTCGCATAAAAGCAGCAAAATTTCAATTTTTTATATCTGCAATTTCGTATCTGTATCTGTATTTCATTGCCGGTTTCAATTGCCACTTTCGAGTGGAAGCAACTATAAATTCCGAATTTTCATTGCATACTTTTAAGTGGCCATAAATATTCGATGACAAACA